AGACAGTGTAATGGTGCCATGAATGAACAATGCTTTGTAGTCCTGTGTGGGAGTGTTTTCTCAGTATGACAGATAAACTTGAGTTCTTGAGAAAAGCATATTTAATCTTTTCTAAAAATGCCAGCCACTTCTCTAACTGTGGATGCCTTTCTGCTGACTCACAGGCAAACAAAGTAAAACACTAATGTCAATAAAATAGGATTTGGGGCTGCTCCAGTCAACCTTTCCACTTAAAAACCCTGCAGGTCTTTCTCTGTAGTCTGGCAGAAGGCACTACATGTCATTGGATGTGTGTCTGCGCAGACAAAAGGAGGATTTGCAAGTCAAAAAGAAGAGTCAGCGTAATCACTTAAGCTAAAACTGTTAGACATTTAATCGAAGTTTGAGTCGAATGAATGATTTAAGCTTTCAGCACACCACTTGCTTCTCAACAGTAACACATACTGGCTCTGGCTGACTTCTCTAAAGACTCTGGTTGATACTATTCTTTGTGACATAGCTACGGTGGCCGAAAGGTGCAAAACACGCTACAACGAAACATTTCCAACGTTTCCATCAGAAACGATGCAAATATAAAAACACAAAAGGGCCAAAACACATGCAGATGCAGAAATGTCTTCACCAACTTCACAACACATGCAGCATTTATTAAAAGCGCTGCATAAACAAAACACTGCAAATTAACAAAACGCTGCAAGAACGGAAATGGGGGACATTAAAAAGTGACGCACACAGCTGGGACAACTCTCTCTATTTTAACAATGTGATCACATGACTCTTTGCATATTATTGCAGATCTGCTGTAAGCTAGCTAGCTAACATAGCTAACCTAGTAATTTTCAGATTCACTGAAACACTCACACACCTATGTTATAATTTAAATATGGGATGAGATTTGCACACAACTACACAACTCTTATTTTACCCAACCTGCAAAGCTTGCTCCCAAATCTACATACTGGTACCAGAAAAAGGAAAATATGGTGTCACTTAAAGATCAAGAGGATTTGAACAGTGTAAGATCAACAAGAGGAGAATCATATGAAGAGAAAGCCTGAACACAGTGTAGTAATGCCATTCAAACCTGGACAGAAACCATTTACAGATGTATTCTCTGCACACTCACAGAAGTAAAATCCTTCTGCCTTCACCTATCACATCCCATTACATTTACACACGGTACCCGGGCAGGAAGTCACGGGGATGTTAACCAACAGGTCTGGAGCATTAATGTATCGTGACCCTCTCGATCTCTATATTTCACAGTAGCTTAACCTACACTTAAATGACATGCGGAGTCACAGCCCTGATGAAATATTCACCGAGTGCGTCTGGAGATTTATGTGAAGAAATGAGGCCTGAAATACTCCAGGGAGGTAATAAGGCCTCCTGTTTAGTGAGCAATCATTCATATCCAGTGGAGCTGCTGCTGGTCAGGGTTACCATGGGGACCGAGGGGAGGGTCAGGGTTTCTCTTCTGCCGTTGTGGATCTATGTGGACGTCGACTATTTGGTTTATTTTTAGTCATTTTGACTCCATTTGTAGTCCTTTTATCTCTGTACAGTAGTTGTGTTAGTAATTTATTGTCTTTTTGTTGTCCTTTTTGGTGTTTGGTTTCTTTTAGTCATGTTGTGGATCTACGTAGTGGTTTTATTGCTGTATAGTAGTTGTGTTGGTAATTTATTGTCATTTTGTAGTCCCTTTTGGTGTTCATTAGTCAGTTGTTTTGTGTCTATTTGAAGTCCTTTTTTTCTTTTTGGTCATTTATTTCTGCTTTTACTGTTTTCTTTGTTAGTCTTTGTATTCCTTATTTTTACTTTAAAGTCGTTTTGTTTCTTGGTCGTAATTTTCCAACTTTTTTGTCTATCTGAACCCTTCTCTGATAATGTTGTATGTCTCTGAATATTAAATTAGCCTCTATGTAGTTGTTTTTCTCTCTATTTCTAACTGTTTTGTGTCTTTGTAGTCATTTTGGTCTATTTAGTAACATTTTGTAAATGTGTCGCTATTTGCAAGTCGTTTTGGTTAAATTTGTAGTCGCTGTGTTTCCTTATGGAGTCATTCTGTGTTTCTATGTAATTGCTTTGTGTCTATTTGTGGCCATTTGATTTTAAACAACAAACTATCAAATCAACACGAATCAGGACCAGAGGATCCCCAGGGAGTTCAGGTTAGCCTCGGGCCCGTTTACAGTTGTCCTGTTACATAATCCATTCATGGCTGTGGCACCTTCTCCAATCAATGATTTAAGCTTTCAACGCATCACTTGCCTCTCAGAAGTAACAACTAGTGGCAGTACCTCCTTCCTGGAATGCCTCTGGACGATCTGGCCTGCAAACACAATCCCCCACTGACAAAAGCCATCATAACTTCTTCCACCATAACACCCGCTGTGCTTTCTGTTGTCAGCTGATCTCATCCTTTTTCATGTTGTGCATCCACGACAGGAGATATCAATCTGTCCGGAGAGTGTGATAAACGGAGGTCCGACACGGAAACCTTGTTAAAGAGGATGGATGGAGAGAGACAGAGGAGAGATGTGGAGAGATGCAGCGTGAATGGCACTTCCCATCAGTATAATTGGTTGAAATGAGCTATGATGGCCACCTGCTGACTGTCATTCAGAGCTCTTCTGCATTGGAATAGTGCCCAATGTCGCTCAGTGGGAGCAGAACAGAAACAGTGCCACACACAGTGAGCTCTTAGATATATGAAACTCCTACATAAGGATTAAGCATTATTAAATACAATTAAGGCAGAAAGAGGATGTCAACTTTGCCATACTAGCTATGCATTATACACTTTCAAAAGGTCTCACAATCTCTGTTATCGTGTCCTCAGATGCACTGCCAGTTTAAAGATGCAATAATAATATTTTAATATGAAAGGGTTGGTCGCTCAGTGACAAATCCAGAGAATTATCACACTGCATTTCCCCTCAGCTCTGGAGCGTTTCAGTCTCTGTTTATTGTCTTGCTTTAATAGCCCATGACTTCACTGCGTTTGATCTCAGTCATCCCTCTTAAAGTGCCATTTCTAAAGCAGCAGGAAGCAGCTCTGAAAACTCACTCCACACTACCTGCTCTGCCGTTCACTAACAGTTCTTCTATTTATACACTTTCACTCATGATTTGGTGGAAACTAAAAGCAGAGCTGTAAGAAACGTGACTATCTGGGAAGTGACAGAATTAATTTCAGAGTGTTAGTTCCCTTCACTCGGCATGAGCTGCCAAGTGCCAACATGTATGCTTAATGTTTAATTAGGACAACTGTACGAGTGCATTTATGGAATTTTCCACAATGTGAAAAATGTAGAATATCTGTCCCTATAATATCCCACATTACTAGTTTTATATTCTGTATATCTGTAGGAAATAGTCAAATCCTTTCTGCATCACAAACCGTATGAACTCTGTAAATCCGGTATACTCCTAGTCCTCATATTGTCTACAGTCACACTCCCATCTTTCTTCTTAACACACTGAATGAACCGTCAGCTGAGGTGTGTTCAAACACCATCCCCATGCTGCTAGACGCTTATTTATATTCAGTTACAATGTGCTGCATCTCATCATTATTGAGATCACTTGTGTGGCAATTCATCTCGAGTTGAAGGTTAGAAGCTTGATACATAAAGTCAAAGTGAATAATCAGTTCCCGCAGTCAGGACTCATTAGGAGCGATTTCACTTACCCGTCATTAAGAGCCATTTCAAAAGGGGTGTTTAATTATTGCAATAAACAGACTGAGAACTAGATATGAGAGCATATTTACCGAGGCATTTACTGAGCTTTATAAAAACATTATTTGTTATTGCTGAACACTTCCAGAGAGTGCTCTTAATAGCAGAGAAAGGAAGGCATGCATTCACTACTTATTCTATTTTTACTGGGTAATCCAATGGATGGATTTTATAACCTTCTCTCTACTGCAGGGGTGTCAAACTCAATTTCATCTCGGGCCACATCAGCATTATGGTTGCACTGAAAGGGCCGGATGTAACTTTAAGACTATATAAAAATACATATATAAATATTTAATATATATAAAATAATGTATTATATTACATTATTGCCTCTGCATTGGATTATTATCGGATAGGGTAATAACTTCATAAATAACTACGTCTGAAAGCAGAAGTCTAGGGCAAATAATTGCAAGTCTCTTCAGTGAGAATGTCACAAAATGATTTAAAAGAAAAGTCAAATTATGGTAAAAAAAAGTCAAAATCAAAAAAAATAAGTGACATTTTGAAAAAAAAGTCCAATTCTGAGTGAAAAGGCAAATTTGAGATTCCTTGTGCTCCATGTATGGCAACGTGCTTCTGTAAATCGCCATGTAACCGTATAATAAACATATTTTATTCTTTGCAAGCTCTTGTGGGGCCACATAAAATGAAGTCGCGGGCCGGATTTGGCCCCCGGGCCTTGAGTTTGACACCCCTGCTCTACTGCCATCCCATTAGACTTTTACCTTTATTCCCCAGAGGCATTTATATACCTCCATCTCTCCAAGCCCCTTTTATGCATATGTTAAGTCTTTATCGCAGCACCCACTTATTGGTGACAGAAAATCCTCCAACCTACTTTTATAGAACGCTGAATGCAGTGAAGGAAACCCACAACAATCCGTCCATAAATCTGTCACCGCGTCCCCGGCAGACATCTGCAGTCTGACAGTCAATTATCTCCCCTCACCTTCAGAAGGCCTCCCTTTAACGCTGCATGGGAGGCAGCAGAGACCCCTATCTTTCCCTGATCTTTATCCCTACTCTTGGCGGAGCTGTCAGCTTAAACCTTCAGTTAACCTCCGAAAACCCCCCCCGTGAGAGAAAACAACCTCCACATCTGCATGTCGAGAGCCGGGCGTTTAATGTGGCATCGTACATAATGGTTATAAAGTGATTTTGACAAACGCCATGAAGCCAATCTGTGAGAAGCTCAAGATGAACAAATGCTGCATAATGACAGATCAATGAAGAAGGACACGACAAAAAGCCTAAAGGACGTCTCTACACATTTATTAATAACAGGAGAAAGCTGGATCTATTTTGGTTATCCCCCCCCTCCGTTAATAACTGATCACACAAGTGGATTCCTAAGCTGCCATGTCAATGAGTCCAGAGGATGACAGTCATGTGCTGACCTGTAATCAGACTAGAAGGCACGCAGATATTCAGTCATAGTCGATCGTCCACAACCATCCACCCACACATTTCTCTCTTTATGCAAATACCTCCTATCTAGCTCTTCTCCATCTTCAGCGAGTTCATCTCCTGGCTATCTGCCTCGATCAATACCCAACGCACCTCTTGGTGTGAAACTGGGACACACACCCCCGGGACAAACATCACACGGCTGTCTTGATTTATTTTCATCCCCCTCTTTTTGCTTTTTGACTTCAGTGAGACATGAAGGGACTCAGCAGCAAGCTTTGATTGGACAAGCCAGTGGAGTGATCCTTGAGAGGGAAAGCAGGATCAATGGCTTCCCTATCATTATGATTTATTAGCCTCAGTCCTTTCTCTCTGTGTGCCCGAGTACCCGTCTCTTGAGGAGGTCCAGTGTATCCTCGGCCAGAGCGTCTCTCAGGGCGCTGAAGAAGGCGTGATAGTGGGCCGTGTTGTGGATCATGAGCAGGACCCCCGCCAGCAGCTCATTGGTCACCAGCAGGTGGTGCAGGTACGCCCTCTGGTGGTTCCTGCAGCAGTAGCAGCCACACCCCTCCACCAGGGGCCGGAAGTCGCCCTGGTACCTGAGGAAAGGTCAGAGAAAGTTCAGACGGGAAAAGTACTCGGATCTTGTACTTCAAGGTCCCCTATTATACGGGTTTTCATCAATATATTATAGGTCTCAGATATATACAAACATGTCTCTGAAGTGTTGATCATTGCAGCATTACCCATAATCCCCTCTGTTTCAGCCCTGTTTCAAAAGTGCTGATTCTGTCTGTTACTTTAGATGAAAATAAGGAGCCCCTCCCCACGCCCCTCTGAGAGATATAGAACACAATGGTGCTCTAGGAGGAGATGCAGATGATAAGGTGGGGGTGGGGGTGGGGGTGGGGGGGGTTACCTTGGTTGCTGATTGGCTAATGGTTACACAAGCCAAAAAATCGTTATGACATCATAAAGTGGCCAAAATCTGATCAGCTCGTTTTCAGACAGGTTTTTATAGAGAATCTTTTCCCTGAAACATTCAGAAGGTTGCCCTCAGGTTAGGAGGCTTTTTGTGTAATCCATTCATGACCGTGACACCTTATCGAATCAATGATTTAAGCCTTCAAAGCATCACTTGCCTCTCAAAAGTAACAAATAGTGGCACCTTTACTGATAAAACCCTCCTCTGGTCATCACTCCTTCCACCCTACCACCCACTGTGACAGATGAAAGCGGCTGGTGTTTTATTAGCTGCTTCAAACCTTTTGTCTTTCAGATTAATCTCAAAGGAAGTCATCTGCGTTTGATCGTCAGGATTCAGATCTCCGCTGTGTTGCGAGTCGCCCGCTGTTTCCTGATCTTCACCCGGCTCCAGCACTGCCGAAAGCATACATACATCGCATTAATTCCAGCTCGTTCTCACAGTAAATCCAGCCCTACACACAGATAGAAAGGGCTGGAGAAGGCATACCATGGCGTGACCCCTTTCCATCACCGCTGTGTCCTATATTCCCCCCGTCATTTACATATAATTACTTACTGACAAAGGGCGTCACACAGATGGGTGTTCACTGCAAGGTGACTTCACTTTATTTAATGAGTGGAAAAACAACTGATGAAGAGCCATGTTACAGGGCTGCTGTTCTGCACGGTTACAGTGAGGAAACGTGAGGAAGAAGAAAAAAGACGGGGGAGAGAAAAAGGAGCAGAGTGGTCGATAGTAGTGCGTGACATAAAAGGTGGCAAACAACGGGTTTAGTGCGAGCTGAAGCTGAGAGCAGACGTGTAAAACAAAGCATAAAAAGGAAACTTATTAGCTGCTGATAAGTGGAGAAAGAGAATGAGGCTTGACAAAGAGAGAGACGTCTAGCACTGAATAGCAGAATACAGAAACAGTCCATTTAACGGAGAAGCAGTCCGTAGTAAAGCTTTAGTTTTAGAGCTGCAGGGGAAACATATTCACAGTTTTCCTCTTTCTTTTACGATTAAGAGACGAGCACATTTATGTACCCTTAAATTAAATACATTAACATTTCATAAATGTAGCTTAACCTCATCATGTGACTTCTGCAGTGATAGAAGATACTGCCTCTGATAGGACTAAGGAAGGAAGGAAGGAGGGAGGGAGGGAGGGAAGGAAGGAAGGAAGGAAGGAAGGAAGGAAGGATAGAAGAAAATAAGAGGGTGAATAAGAATATGGTCTGCCGTGTCAGAGAGTACCCTAATCCCCCTCCCCCCTCAACGGGACTTTATAATTGAGAGAGAGGGGAATTAGATGTTCTCTCCAGGTGTGACACCCTCCCCGCTCTCAGCTCCTCTGAACTCCATTACGCTCCCCGTGCAGAATCGATTAGTTCTGTCTGACACGTCGTGCTGCAGACACCAGCCTCGCTCAGTCTGTCAGACGAGTTTCACGCAACTTTTTAATGGAACACAAAGACCTCAGCCTCTCCCACAGCTCCCGTCACAAGAAGTCTTTAGGTTTCCACTATCAGAGACACGGACCTGGATTTAATTATACTATATTACATTACATTACATGTTACTTGTTAGACGCTTTTATCCAAAGCGACTTACATACGCAATACTGTGGACAATCCCCACAGGAGCAATTTGGGGTGAAGTGTCTCAGGGACACAACGACATGCTGACTGCAGTGGGGTTTGAACCTGTGCCCCCCTGATCCGAACACCAACGCACTACACCACCACGCCACACGCCTAGTGGTCTAGTGCGCCACTAAACTGGAGTCGGTATGAGATACATGATTGATTTCATTTCACCAGATTCATTTCTTTCTACCCCTGACCCGGGGCTGGAGAACACACAAGCACATAATGTAGCTCCAACACTCATGAGACCCATCTTTGATTTGAATGCATGATAAACCCCTGACTGCAGGGAAGCTCAGCGCCAACATTCACGCACCATGTCCCATTCGTTTTGTAAACACAGAATTCATCTTGCTCTCTCCAAATTAAAACTAAATGAGGGGATGTTCATTTCCCAAAAACACTTAAAAGTCTGCGCGCTGAACCATTTGAGTTTGAGATGTTTGAGAAAACTCCCTCTGCTGTGAGATGAAGAGCCCTTTGCATGAACCAGAAACATCAGTTATTATCTTCAACTCACATCACACACTCCCGCTGTATGCTCAGCTCGTTATCGGTCACTTTTACTCATCTCTACTAGGGCTGTGCAATTAATCGTATTTTAATCTCGATTACGATTTTGGCTTGCAACGATTACGAAAACAACGTAATCGAAATAAAACGATTTTTATTTTATAAAAAAAAAAAAAAAAAAATTTTTTTTTTTTTTTTTTGCTTTTTCAGTTGAATTATAATTAAAGTTCAGGGTAATCAACTGTTAAAAACATACTGTTCACATTTTTGTTTCAATAAATGGATGTTTTCAAAGTAAATGGATAATCGTTTTTAATAATCGTGATATCAATTATTGACCAAAATAATCTTGATTAGGATTTTTGCCATAATCGCACAGCCCTAATCTCTACCATTAATAGCATCAAAGTGGTGCGACTTCTCGTATCCAAACGACTTCTCTGCGTATTTACAGAAGGACTCCTAATCATCGCTTTATGCTCAGAAACGTAAACTAACATGGTGAGAGGAATCATGTTCTCCACCACCATCTCATTCAGTTCAGAATTCATTACAAACCTGATCAGGCATGTAGCGAGAGAAAGACCCCCTACCTAAGCCCCCAAATTACATCGTGACATGTCAGTGTGCTGCAGGCATACAGTGCATTACAATTACTGACAAAAAGACAGTTTTTCAATTGTTTTGAGTGAATTTTCTTGATAAAATGATCAAAACATACCTGACTTGTAATCTGGTTTGTTTGCAGCTGAATTCTCCTTTTGCTGTCTTTTAAAAAATTGAAATTAAACGTGTGTGCTTTGATGAAGGTCGTTCCCTCAGAAACAGATATGAGCACTGCAGTGTGTGAAACAATGTGTGTGTAATCGAAGTCCTTCAGCAGATTAAAGAGGGGGGGGGGGGGTGTGATGCAACTTTAATGAGAATGTGAGAGCAGCTCAAAGTTAACAAGCTTGATCTACGTCTGTTGCAACATCAAAAAGAGGCTGCCACACAAGAGAAAAGGGGAATCAAAGAAAACTCACTGAAAAGGGCAGTTTTATTAATGGTGTTGACCATTTGTTCGTCATAGCTGCCAATTATGTTGAATTTTCAATTGTTTACTCTCTCTGGGATTTTGATGTTCTCTCTAAATAATGGGTGGTCCATTTGTACTCGACTCGCAGCGAATTCTTAAAGTATAAACGGCATACGGCCCACACCTTATATCGTACTTCTTCAACATATTACACAGTATTCATTGTTGTTGAGTCAGTATATCTTTCTGTATGTGGCCCTCAGAGAAAGAGTTTTGGATAGACCCAGTGTTTCCGCCAGACCAGGGCTGAGAGGGGGCGTCCACCCCGAGAGTGCGGTGGTGTGACTCCACGTCGTGTCACGTGACTTGAATTTTGAATTGAGCCGTCCCTTATAGATACTGGGTGTTTCTCAATGTCGAGTACGCTTGCTTGGTAGCACATGTCTTCCGAGCGTCTTGCTTCAGAAGCGAGGCAAGAATCCTTCCTGGCATTCGGAAAACCAAGAGTGGAACAGGCGAGCAAGTGTGCAGGTGTGCAGGTGTGCGTCATATGAGAGGCCCCGCCTTACATTTTCCGCCACAGATTTGGGGAAATTGGTCCGTGCGCAAAGCATTGTGGGGATTTTAAGACCGCGGAGTCTACACAGCCTCGAAATTTCTCCAAACGAAGTACGCCGGGCTCGGTAGATTTCCAAGTATGCTGGAGATTGGAACAGTACGTTCCGTGTTGTCCTGTGGCAGACACCACCGATGTCGGGGAAACGATCTTCAATACTCCGAAAAGAATCCCACCAGACTCCTTTGCCCCTCCACCAGAGGGATGTCCTTGTCCTTTTTCCTTTTCGTCATTTCAAGCGATAAAAACTCTCGAGGACTGAGGACGCCCTCGGCTCGAGTTCAGGGCGTTCCGAGCTGAATAATAGCGTCAGATGACGGCAAGACGCCCCCCTGGCGGAAACGCCGGATAGCCCTGCTCTACGACTCACAAGTAGAAACACATTTCTACTACTTGCACTATTGTATCTGTTGTATTGTGTTGCTCTGTTCGAGGAGCCTGTGACCTAAGATTTTCGTTGTCATAACTACACTGTAGCTAATGCACACATGACAATAAAAGCCTTGAAACCTTGAATCCTTGAAAACAACCATCGCAGATATTCACCACACCTGCGGGGGGCGCTCTACCTGCGAGCTCCGGGTTCGAGGAGATGTTGAAGTTGAAGATCAGAGCGCAGCCTCGCTCCGTCACCTCGAAGGGGAAGAAACCCTCGAACAGATCCACGCCGGCCTCCACGCTCGCCAGCACCTCGTCGGGCCGTCCTACACCCTGCAGCAGCCTGACAGACAGAGGGAAGCTTTCACATTAAAAAGGAAATAGATCATCAACATTAACGTCCGCACAGACTGCACATTACCCTCTAACAACATGTGCACCCTTGTGTGTTTGAGCTCTTCCCAGGCCTTCAGCTCCCTCTGACTCCCGCCTGCAGGCATCAAGGGCAAGCCCAATTTAGCATTCGGTAATGACTCCACTCACAAGCAAACATGGTGGAGCTCAGAGGCAGCCGCTGCTCCGACTCTCTGACACAGACCCTCCACCTCACCGCCGGGAGAGGAGCACTCATGTGCAACAGACTCATATCAGAGTGTCTGGTTGGAGACATTATGGCTCCTTCATTTAAAGGGGGCTCATATCTTGCTCATTTTCAGGTTCATATCAGTATGTAGTGTCTCTACTTTAAAGAGTCCTCTCCGGCTGATGTTCAGGTGTATATCAGTATGTAGTGTCTCTACTTTAAAGAGTCCTCTCCTGCTGATGTTCAGGTGTATATCAGTATGTAGTGTCTCTACTTTAAAGAGTCCTCTCCTGCTGATGTTCAGGTGTATATCAGTATGTAGTGTCTCTACTTTAAAGAGTCCTCTCCTGCTGATGTTCAGGTGTATATCAGTATGTAGTGTCTCTACTTTAAAGAGTCCTCTCCTGCTGATGTTCAGGTGTATATCAGTATGTAGTGTCTCTACTTTAAAGAGTCCTCTCCTGCTGATGTTCAGGTGTATATCAGTATGTAGTGTCTTTACTTTAAAGAGTCCTCTCCTGCTGATGTTCAGGTGTATATCAGTATGTAGTGTCTCTACTTTAAAGAGTCCTCTCCTGCTGATGTTCAGGTGTATATCAGTGTGTAGTGTCTCTACTTTAAAGAGTCCTCTCCTGCTGATGTTCAGGTGTATATCAGTATGTAGTGTCTCTACTTTAAAGAGTCCTCTCCTGCTGATGTTCAGGTGTATATCAGTATGTAGTGTCTCTACTTTAAAGAGTCCTCTCCTGCTGATGTTCAGGTTCATATCAGTATGTAGTGTCTCTACTTTAAAGAGTCCTCTCCTGCTGATGTTCAGGTGTATATCAGTATGTAGTGTCTCTACTTTAAAGAGTCCTCTCCTGCTGATGTTCAGGTTCATATCAGTATGTAGTGTCTCTACTTTAAAGAGTCCTCTCCTGCTGATGTTCAGGTGTATATCAGTATTTAGTGTCTCTACTTTAAAGAGTCCTCTCCTGCTGATGTTCAGGTGTATATCAGTATGTAGTGTCTCTACTTTAAAGAGTCCTCTCCTGCTGATGTTCAGGTGTATATCAGTATGTAGTGTCTCTACTTTAAAGAGTCCTCTCCTGCTGATGTTCAGGTTCATATCAGTATGTAGTGTCTCTACTTTAAAGAGTCCTCTCCTGCTGATGTTCAGGTGTATATCAGTATGTAGTGTCTCTACTTTAAAGAGTCCTCTCCTGCTGATGTTCAGGTGTATATCAGTATTTAGTGTCTCTACTTTAAAGAGTCCTCTCCTGCTGATGTTCAGGTGTATATCAGTATGTAGTGTCTCTACTTTAAAGAGTCCTCTCCTGCTGATGTTCAGGTTCATATCAGTATGTAGTGTCTCTACTTTAAAGAGTCCTCTCCTGCTGATGTTCAGGTGTATATCAGTATGTAGTGTCTCTACTGTGACATGTCTCCATGCTTTAATGTTCAAAAAGCTCTTTATTTTCCTCATACTGCCCTCTTTTCAACCTCAGAGCCCAGTCTGCTCTGATTGGTTAGCTGGTCGGCTCCGTTGTGATTGGTCAACCACATAGAGAGGTATGGATTTGTCTGCAGGGCATTTTTAGGCTGTTACTAAACCAGTAATTAAATCCAAAGCATTCTTCATTATAATTGATGTGAAGACAATGAATAGCATAAGGTACCCTGTGTCCACCGACCCTCTTGTGTTGTGTAGCAGCAGCTGATTTAATGTCTTCAGAGGTGTCTCTCGAATTCAATATTTGAGAATGGGGAGAAACCCTCCCTTTACAACTGTAATCAATAAACACATTTCTCACACGGTCACAGGCTGACCTGGGTTTGTCCTCAGGCAGCTCTTTGGTCACCGCGCTGATGAGCTGGGTCCTCAGAGCCTGGTCCATGGAGCCCGTCTGCAGGCCGTCCAGACAGAACCCGGACACAGGCCTCTTAGCCGTCTCCTTCGCCGAGCGCACCCTCTCCTCCAGGATGTCTCCACCCTCCACCACCCCAAACACCTCCACGCCCTCCAACTCCTGCCAACGACACGCATTTTAATGATTAAACGGAGTCAAAGAAACCCTGAAAGATGGATAAAAACAAGGAACTAAAAGGAAAAATGTATACTGAATGCGAAAAGATCTAGAACCCGTCTGTGTTCTGATGCCTCAAGCTAAACTGCAGATCAGCAATCAAGCCGCTTACTCAGTACAATGTTTATGTCAAGTATTATTTGCAGTTTGCTGTGGGTTGTTTGGCTCCGGCTTATTCTACATTTACACATTTTTGTCCCAGGGGAAATTTGGTTTTCAGCCAAGCAACAGAATGTACAGAAGAGCACATCTCAGACATAACGGTAGTGAAATGCATACAAAATGTAAAACCGTTGTAGGACATTTATTCCTACAGATCTTCTCTCTTCTTCTTGCACACCTCTTGATAATGTACATATGTACGTACTGAGAATGTGTTCCTTCTAATCTCAATGTGTTCAGCTGCAGCATTGCAACCCCTTTAAGTGAAAACACAACAAACATCCATCTTTGTCTCATGTGCTTCTGCCGTGCATGAATAATTAACAAATGCAATCTGTGTGTTTAGGCTGTCGCTTGTGTGTGTGTGTGTGTGTGTGTGTGTGTGTGTGTGTGTGTGTGTGTGTGTGTGTGTGTGTGTGTGTGTGTGTGTGTGTGTGTGTGTGTGTGTGTGTGTGTGTGTGTGTGTGTGTGTGTGTGTGTGTGTGTGTGTGTGTGTGTGTGTGTATGTGTGTGTGTGTGTGTGTGTGTGTACCTGGGATTTTTGGTGAACCAGCAGACACTCATCCAAGTGGGCGAGGGAGCGATCCACGGACTTTCGGACCCTCTTATGGGAGGTGTTGATCTGCCACGTCTCTCCGTCCGCCATGCTCTGGTACCAGTCTGGCTTCACGGCCTTCTGCAGAGCCATGAACTTAGCCACTGTCAGCTCGATCCGCCCACCACTGCCCCACACCGACACCGTCTAAACACAACACAGAGAGAGCATTTTTATGTTAAAAATGTTAAAGGGGTCAGATTCAGCTCAAGTCCAGGTGTTCTACTTTAAAGAGTCCTCTCCTGCTGATGTTCAGGTGTATATCAGTATGTAGTGTCTCTACTTTAAAGAGTCCTCTCCTGCTGATGTTCAGGTGTATATCAGTATGTAGTGTCTCTACTTTAAAGAGTCCTCTCCTGCTGATGGTCAGGTGTATATCAGTATGTAGTGTCTCTACTTTAAAGAGTCCTCTCCTGCTGATGTTCAGGTGTATATCAGTATGTAGTGTCTCTACTTTAAAGAGTCCTCTCCTGCTGATGTTCAGGTGTATATCAGTATGTAGTGTCTCTACTTTAAAGAGTCCTCTCCAGCTGATGTTCAGGTGTATATCAGTATGTAGTGTCTCTACTTTAAAGAGTCCTCTCCTGCTGATGTTCAGGTGTATATCAGCATGTAGTGTCTCTACTTTAAAGAGTCCTCTCCTGCTGATGTTCAGGTGTATATCAGTATGTAGTGTCTCTACTTTAAAGAGTCCTCTCCTGCTGATGTTCATGTGTATATCAGTATGTAGTGTCTCTACTGTAAAGAGTCCTCTCCTGCTGATGTTCAGGTGTATATCATTATGTAGTGTCTCTACTTTAAAGAGTCCTCTCCTGCTGATGTTCAGGTGTATATCAGTATGTAGTGTCTCTACTTTAAAGAGTCCTCTCCAGCTGATGTTCAAGTGTATATCAGTATGGAGTGTCTCTACTTTAAAGAGTCCTCTCCTGCTGATGTTCAGGTGTATATCAGTATGTAGTGTCTCTACTGTGATTGGTCAACCCCTTAGAGATGTCCCACCCCTTTAGCCTATCACGTACAATGTGTTGGAGCGCTAGCCAACAGAAGCGTGAGTGTTAAGTAGTGATTTCCATATATAACGGCAGTAAACAAAGGAGTCCAATCGCCTTTGCAGACCATTTACATGCACAGAGATCTAGATGACACACTCAAGGAAAAAGCACAATAGGGCCTCTTTAAGATGAAGCAGGCTTTGACATAATTCTTGCTCTAAATAAATTGGCATTGCAGGAAAACCCTTTTTCTTGCTAAGAGTCAAATGAGAACACTAATGCCAATCTCACAGCAGCTTAGCTTAGCGTAAAGACTGGAACAGGAATATAAAGCTAGCCATCCAAAGGTAACAAGCTCACTAATTAAAAAACATAGAGTGGTGTTGATCTCCTCAGAAGCTTAATCCCACCTTGTTAGTAGTGTGACCTGTGGGGCAGGGGGTCGCAGGGTCGTGGAGCGCGCAGTACAACACAGTATCATGAAGACCTGCACAAAGCACAAAATACAAATCAACGCGAGTCACACAAACTCCGACAGAGGGTCAGCGTCAGCGAGTTGACGGAGCGAGGCACTTTCTTACAGCGAGAGGTGAGGCCTTATCAGCAAACGCAGCTGGAGCTGGAGATCAAAAGGTGGCAAAACAAAAGGCTGGAAACGCTGTTATTATTTCTAATTATTCATTCCCTGCTCTTCCCTCTTAGGACTTCAGAGACGGCAAAGTAGTAATCCTCTGACAGTTGAGATGTGAGGCTATACTGATTGCATTTCTAATTCCATATGCGGTGGCTCGAGGCACGGTATAACGGTAAGTTCCACAGCGAAACTGAATGAGGTCACTTTAAATAATTATTACTCGGGACCGCACGTTCTGATCAGGCTCGTGGAGCTAATCAGCTTTTCGATATTGAACTCAACATACTGTATATTTAGAAGCAATTTACTCCCGCCTTTTCCAATATATTTAGTGAAAATAATGCTCACACACCCCGAGCTAAACGTGTGCAGAATGCATGTGTGACATTTACATCAATCAACCAGTCTGGCAGAGAGGTTATTCTCATGTGGTTGCTTTACATAAACAGTTTATGGTTGCTATTTAAATATTTATAATGCAGAGGGTTAATTAAAATGAATAGTTTAAAACAGTAGCTTTCCTATTCCATAATTGACTTGGAGAGGATTTCACTTGTTTATACAAATGTGTGTACCTTCTTTCTCTCAATCAAATTTAAAATGGTTGACAAAAGCACAGCACAGGATTATTAATTAAAAGCAGGATGATGTATAAACCCTGCTGTGTATATATTATGCATATAACAGTGCATGCTTGGTTTAGTGCCTGGTATTTTTGGGTCTGTATAAAAAGCTCTATTGCATATATTTAAAGGTCGCATGTCATGGCCATTTCTACTGATCATAATTCCATTGTTGAGGTATACTAAAATACATTTATATTGTGCAATTTTCCAAACTCACATTGGTTTCTCAAACAGCATCTCTGTATAGTATGTGTATTCACTCTCTGTCCTAAACGGCTTGTTGGACCTACTGCCCCCCCCCCTCCCTGTGAGCCCAGTGGCCGTCTGCGAGACAGCGAGACACAGCGAAACCCAGCCCGATACACACACACACCCGCAGCCTGGCTGGGAGTTTGTGTGTGTGCCCAGGCTGAGTTCTGCGGTGTCTCGCTGACCCCACACCAGTGAGCCGGCTCACAGTGTCCCGCTCCTCACAACGTCCCGCTGAGTGTGTGTGTGTGTGTGTGTGTGAGGAAGTCTGCGGATTGGTCCAAACGTAACGGCTCCGCGGACGTTACGTTACATCACTATACCCGAAATACGTCACTATACCCAAGAAGTAAACAATGGAAAAAGAGAAATCTCCAACGAGGCGTTCTGGGGCAGCATAGACAGGTATTTTCTGTGTTAGAGTTTTACTCCCTACAGGGTGTACTCTGAGGGTTTGTGACTCTGCAGACCGTTTACATGCATAAAAAGCTACATAACACACAAGGGGACGGGTAATAACCAGAAAAGCATGACATGGGACCTTTAAATACAATACTTCAGGTTTTTTCTTGGTAAAAAGCCGATTATTTATTATTTAACACTTAAATAATGTAACACTTTTTGATAATTTTTTGTTTATTATTTCCTCTTACGAAGTCTAATGTCATCCACCAAAACACACAAGAGAATTCCTTGTTGGTGAACCTGCTAGGTAATTAACTGGATTCAGGTTCGGCTGATAGATGATAGATGACCATATTATCAATACTGGATAAATATGAATACATTGGGAATGATCACTAGTTTAATCAATGCTGTTTGGTCTGCTATAAGCTCCCACGGTCCACCTAATCATATTCCCTCTTCACCCAATAACTCTCTCTAAGTGTTGATCATACATAAATCAAAACACAGCAATGAAGGAATCTGAAAATAGAGTCACAGTCTTTGGTAGCAAAGGCAATTACACAAATCAACATATACATGATTAAAAAGTGACACGAGTAGGAACCAAAATATTACAGCATTGGGACCAAGAGTTGAAAGCAGCTTTATGTAGTGTGTTAAAGGAGTGATTTAAAATGAGGCACATATTATTATCTTCTCAGGCAGGGCCTTTAAAAGCCGGGGGAATCCAACGGAAAATTCCACCTTTAGTTTAAGCTGTGACTTTGGACCGGATAAAAGGGTATAGCCAGAGGATCTCAGGTGTTTAGTCGTAAAGCTTTAGCAGCTCGGAGATATAAGAAGATGCCATTCCAGACAGGGCCTTAAAAGTGCCTTAATGTTTGTTTTTACACAACAATAACTTCACCTGAGGCATGTACTACGAAGCCGGATTTGGGGTTCAAGCAGGGTAATCTTTTAAAAATGGGTTTGAGGGGGAGGCAATGTAGTTTATCAACAGATGGGGGGTGATAAACTGGGGTAGCAGCAAAGGAGGTGTGGATGAAAATCTTAATTGTGATGAATTCAAAGTACCTGCAAACTTCCTGAATCCATCCTTGAACTCCTCCAACACTTCCTGGTGCTCTGCTCTTAAGAAAGAAAATACTAAAATTAGATTTCAGAGTTTGTAATGGGGGTGTTCATTTGTTACAGCAGCTCAAATAAGCCAATGAAAACATTTTTGATTGAGTGATAAATAAGAGCTTTATACAGTTAGTTTTTTTGTTTCAAAGTCAACTTGTTTGTCAATCTTTCAGTTTGTGTGTACAGACAGAGAGATCGAAATACGTTTCCCACAATCCAGAATACAAAAATATATTACAAATATGTATATACCTATATATACACATGCATGTATACATATGCACACATCAAGACATACATAAAAGCACAACAATATACACAATAACAGATTTATTTTGTATATTACACATATACAGATAATGTCCTTGATGGATAATTGCACCCTTAATTGTAATACACACATTGGACACTTACATATTGGACAGGGTGATCTGGGTGACAGAGGGCAGGGTGCTCAGGGTGCTCAGGGTGTCCTGTGTGAGGTGGGGCACGGTGCCCAGGTGTGTGTGCAGCAGACACCCCGGGACCTCCAGAGAGAGCTGCCCTGTCTTACCGAGCCCCTTCAGGACCCCCAGCCGACCTTTGCCCAGCGCCACACGGGACAGCTCCAGCTTCATCCTGCAGCCAGCCATACAGCGGGAGCACAACGAGTTTAAAAACAGCTGCTCCAAAACACACGTGAATTAGCCACGTAGCTAACTAGCCTAACTAATCACGTGATACTTTATTTACCCTTTCGTCTATTTAAAATGATAAGCGCTCTTTAAGAGACGAGAAGAAACCCTACTTATCACTGTTGTGCTGGCTTGAATTGTATAAGCGTTTAATATAAGAGCTATTTTCATTCGTCTACCTACAAAACTCACAGGCACTACAAGTCGCCTGAATATGACGTCATCATCCGTCGCGGCATAATTTAGTAAATCCATGAGTAAACTACGATAAAAGAGTCGAGTGCCTTCCTTTTTGAATAAAAACTATTTTAAGAACATTTAAATATGTAGTCTTATTATTATGTTTTACTCTATTCTTACGTTTTATTACATTCTAAACGTAAATGTGGCTCATTCAGAGAGGGGAATAACGTTGCTATGGTTACCAAGAGTTACAAACAAAGCGTGACTGGGCGATGTAGTCCTAAAGTGCTTTGTTGACACGACATTTGGCATAGAAAAATTGTTAAGGCACTACATTACCCAGATTGACTTGTGATTCATATCGATAGCGGTTGTGTACAGGTCTTGCTTTTGCGAGGGCTCTTTGTGAAGACTTCTGAACACTTTTTGATGATATAAAAACAGTCAAATAATTGGTTTTTGGAGCTGTTTTTAAACTATGGAATGGTGGTTAAGATAACATTATAGTAGCAGAGGTAAATATCTATTACTAAACAGACTATGACATCCCCAGGTCCCAACCCTCACCTGTTCAGGTGGAGGAGGCTTGGCGAGAGTAAAACTGCAGACAAGGTAGGTTTGGTCTCTGGATTTATGTTAAATTTAAAGGTGTAGGGTTTCTCATTCTGATTCAAAAAGGGAATTGATAATCCATCCCAACTCACATCAACACTTTGCAATTATTTGAAATGATTTTCAATCTATTTTCAATTTGAAGACTTTCCTCAGGATGATTACATCCCCAACAGAGATAACAACATAATTGTAAAAAGGCTCATATTGGATTCATGAATAAAGCAGAAGCCCCCCAGTGTTAATACTATGTATTAAACATGGCTTATGTCAGGGGACGGTTCAGAAATGTCGTATAAATGGCCTTTCTCTGCAGCATGAGACAGAGATAGCTGAATTGCTGCTAAAGTATAGCACAGAGTTTGGGAAGTCTGGGAAATGATTCCCCAATAATCTGAAGATTTAAGGCAGTGGCTAAGCTTTCTGAAAAATAATCCACAGGCGCAGACATCAGGCAATGGCTGAGCCCTCAATTTGCACGCTGCTCCCACAGCTCAAGGTGTCCATATATTTATAGGTTATACTTTATTTATCCCGGTCAAAGTCTCATGAGTCTAAGTTCCTATTCAAGAGTAACCTGGCAAAGAGGGAAGTATAACAAATGTTATATCCATAAACACAAACAGACACACACACTACAAATAAGTGAGTTAGACTTTGCAAAATAGGTATAATTTTGTAAATAATGTAATGGATGATTTAGAAGCAATAATATTGAGTCTTTCTGACCCTTTTCTGACTATTTTAGATCCTAATAAGGGGGTCTGTTTGCTTGGCTGGGTTTATTTTGTTGACCCTGTACTCTATCTTGAACTATTGGTTTACACTTCAAATAATTGTTTGTTCCTATAACAGATGCATGATGCGAAGATAGACGATATCGATCAATGGAGGAAGGTGAGAGGAGTTCACCTAAGTGTGGTTTTGAAAAAAGCATGTCAGCTTTGACGGATGTGCATTGACCAAATTATTGAATAACATCGGATCATGATAATAATCATTATATTCGTCTTCAGCGCGTGGAGGCTGCTTCAGAGTTTGCTGTATCTGAAGTCTTCACCCACAAGAAACCTCATTCAGGGAAGAAGAGCCGAGTTGAATCTCTACAGAGCTCTGAGCAGTTAAGAGATCATGATGACGCTTATAGTGAAGGTAGGTCAGCCTTTAACACATCATTATAGGTGTCTCAAGGGAGGCGTTACCTGGAGTTGAGCCTCTGCAGCAGTGGCAGACTAATAATGTATTGCAGCTCAGGCTCTGCTCGCTAATTGGCTGAACAGCAAGCTGCGTGTGGAGCTGGAGGTGGAGGAGGACGATGACCTGAGGTGCTCCGGTGAGAGGAGAAGCCCTGATAGTTCTCCGCCTGCCGCCCTGAACCACAGCAACTTTGATGGTAAAGACAAAAACAATGCAACCTGTTTAGTTTAGGGAGGCGTGTGGCGCAGTGGATTGGTGTTCGGATCAGGGGGTCACAGGTTCAAACCCCACTGCAGTCAGCATGTCGTTGTGTCCCTGGGGAAGACACTTCACCCCGAATTGCTCCTGTGGGGATTGTCCACAGAATTGAGTATGTAAGTCGCTTTGGATAAAAGCGTCTAACAAGTAACATGTAATGTAATGTTTAGCCTCTTCGTGTGAATAAATCAAGAAAAGTTCAAATTCCCCGGCCTTAATGGGAACGGTAAGGTTTTGATTTGACGTAACAAGCCACATAATAGGAATTAAGAATTGAAGCAGTTAAATACTTCAAAAGGTTGGTGCCTTTAAAATATTTAACAGCTATCGTGTAACCCTGACTCAACACTACACGGTGGATTCAAACTCATCCTCTACCAGGTCACAATGAAGGAGATGCATTTTTTAAAGAGGACAAATGATGCTCATGTTCAAGGAACTTTGGGATTTTAGCCTTTGCAGACCATTGACATGCACATAAACCTATATAACACACTACAAGAAAAGGAAACCCCCTAAAAGCCTCTTCAAATTTCAATTTTAGGCGTTACTTAAGGTTATCTAAAAATGTGTAAAGGTACAGTTTGGGAAACATATGACTTCAAATGTATAACTTTTCTGGCCAAAAGTTAGTTTAACAAACAAATTAGCTCAACTACATTGAGTGACTATTTTATAAAAGCGTAACATTTCAGACCATTTCAGATTTTCTCTACATGTGCGTGTCATATTCCTACAACATGACTTGTGAATGCATTGTTTTTTGTGACTTCCACATCTTAAATGTTGACGTTTGATTTTATAGGAGCAAATCACGGACAGCAAATCAATCCAAAAGTGTATTGTATGCTTTGCAACACGGTCACAATATAATACTTGTTTTTGTACAACTGCAAAGATCTGTATAACTGCCTGGCGGAGGAGGAAGAGCACAGTGCTGTGAACAGCTTCCTCCAGGACCTGATGGAGCAGGAGCTGTTGGACTCTGAGGTGATGGAGGAACTGGTTCTGGATGTTGGACAAACAAGGAAGAAGTTCAGAAACCCAATCGTCTCCATGGAAGCTCGACAGCTGCAGGTACGTGACCCGAGCACATCACGACTTCCTCGAGATAAGAGATGTGAGCGCTGAGGGGTCGGGAAACATATCAGCCGTGAGGAGAATCTGCCGGCGCCCAAGCTGTGTTTCTCGCTCATACTAATTGCCACTGATTGCCGTTGAAGGTGCGAGAGAACAGAGCGAGGCGGGAGGCAGAGAGGCTGAGGCAACAGAGAGAGGGGGAGGCTCTGCGGGAGGCCAGAGGGGAGGCGAGGAGGAGGGAGCGAGGCGATGAGGCGAGGAGGAGGCAGCAGGAGGAGAAGCTGCAGCAGGAGATGGTGAGGCTGCGGCGGCAGAGGGAGGAGCGGAGAGGCCTGGAACAGCTGGTTCGACAGAGGTACGGTATCCACAGCAACAACTGCTGATGTGCTTATCGCCCTGTATCTGAGATTAACTCCTGTGTGATTGCATCGATCGGGATCCTGCCTCTTCCCCCTTCCTATGATGGATTGATGGTAACCTAGTGAGAAGAGACACAGATCCCTGACCCAAACAAGTGTTGTGGACGAGTCCCTGGACGTAGCTCTTGTAATCTCTTTCAAAGTGTGAACCAGAAAAAGGCTTTTGTAAATAAACCCTCAGGCAACTTTCATCATAACGATCAGGAAAGCCTCAGAGAACAGAGGGAAGTGTTTGGCAATGATTTACAAAGTGACTGCAAATGAGAAAAGTAATAACCATGCAAATCAAACTGATGCATTTATGATACTCCTCAAATCAAATCAAATCAAATCAGGTTTTAATTATATAGCACATTTAAAAGCGATTGTTGGTCGAGCCAAAGTGCTGTACATGTAATAAAAACACATTACTACAATCACAATAAACGACAATAAATTACAACAGATATATCTTAAAAACAAAATAAAAATAAAACACACGGAAAAGTCAGGAGTCGTGCTCCGCTCTAACTAGAAGGCCAGAGAGAAGAAGTGTGTTTTTAGTTTAGATTTAAAAACCCCTAGGGTCTGGGCCGACCTCACATGGAGGGGCAGAGTGTTCCAGAGCCTCGGGCCAGCTGCTGAGAAGGCTCGGTGCCCTCGGGTTTTGAGCCTGGTCTTGGGCACTACCAGCAGCAGCTGGTCAGCAGACCTTAAAGCTCTGGCTGGGGTGTAGCGCTGGAGGAGTTCTGCTATATAGGCCGGAGCCAGCCCATTTAGGGCTTTAAAAACAAATAAAAGGATTTTAAAATCAATTCTGAACCGAACTGGAAGCCAGTGCAGTGAGGCCAGAATAGGGGTGATGTGGTCACACTTTTTGTGGCCAGTCAGCAAACGTGCAGCTGCGTTTTGGACTAGCTGTAGGCGTTTAATTCCTCAATTAAACCTATATTGATAGAATATCATTTTAATTGCCTGGCCATGAAATAAATGATAATAAAATAAAAATATAACTTTGAAGGGCATGAAATTGAATTTTTACTAGTTTCTTTACTACGTGGGTCTATACAAAAATCTATACTGCTCTGACGGGCACTTTTGCATCATTTTGCAACTTTTTGGGATGATTGCTATTCTTTACAGGGTCCTGGTAAAATAAGAAGTACATGTTTGTCTATTCCCCAGAGAAAGGGTGAGGGTGGAAGGGCAGAGGGGAGCCAGGAGCCTCCAGCCTGCTCCTCCACTGCCCACAAAACAGCTGCTGCACGACACAGAGCGGCGGTATCAAGAAAAGAAAATTCAAGCCATGATTGACATGCGTAGTCTCAAGGTCGGTACCTGTGCTGTGGGTGGAAGTTTGCACACGTCTCATTGTGATTTCCAACCTGTCGTGCTGTCGTTTCAGTGTTTGCAGAGGCATTTCTCTGGATGGTATTCAGTGGTGTTGGACAGAAGGCTGCGGTTAGGGAAGGTCACGGCCCTCTGTGACTGGAAGCGACAGCTGAGAGCCTGGCGGGCGTGGCGGGCCGTGCTGTGGGCGGGAAAACATCAGCGAGCGGTGACCAGAACAGAGGAGGATCTACGAGCTCAAAACAGGCAAGAAGTTCACAGAAATGTTGTTCCCTGAAAGGCCGTCATTGTTCAAATCCTGCGTTTTACCACAGAGGAAAAAGAGGACATATACACTGCTCATTTTACGGTTCATATCAGTATGTAGTGTCTCTACTTTAAAGAGTCCTCTCCTGCTGATGTTCAGGTTCATATCAGTATGTAGTGTCTCTACTTTAAAGAGTTCTCTCCTGCTGATGTTCAGGTGTATATCAGTATGTAGTGTCTCTACTTTAAAGAGTTCTCTCCTGCTGATGTTCAGGTTCATATCAGTATGTAGTGTCTCTACTTTAAAGAGTCCTCTCCTGCTGATGTTCAGGTGTATATCAGTATGTAGTGTCTCTACTTTAAAGAGTCCTCTCCTGCTGATGTTCAGGTGTATATCAGTATGTAGTGTCTCTACTTTAAAGAGTCCTCTCCTGCTGATGTTCAGGTGTATATCAGTATGTAGTGTCTCTACTTTAAAGAGTCCTCTCCTGCTGATGTTCAGGTGTATATCAGTATGTAGTGTCTCTACTTTAAAGAGTCCTCTCCTGCTGATGTTCAGGTGTATATCAGTATGTAGAGTCTCTACTTTAAAGAGTCCTCTCCTGCTGATGTTCAGGTGTATATCAGTATGTAGTGTCTCTACTTTAAAGAGTCCTCTCCTGCTGATGTTCAGGTGTATATCAGTATGTAGTGTCTCTACTTTAAAGAGTCCTCTCCTGCTGATGTTCAGGTGTATATCAGTATGTAGTGTCTCTACTTTAAAGAGTCCTCTCCTGCTGATGTTCAGGTGTATATCAGTATGTAGTGTCTCTACTTTAAAGAGTCCTCTCCTGCTGATGTTCAGGTGTATATCAGTATGTAGTGTCTCTACTTTAAAGAGTCCTCTCCTGCTGATGTTCAGGTGTGTATCAGTATGTAGTGTCTCTACTTTAAAGAGTCCTCTCCTGCTGATGTCCAGGTGTATATCAGTATGTAGTGTCTCTACTTTAAAGAGTCCTCTCCTGCTGATGTTCAGGTGTATATCAGTATGTAGTGTCTCTACTTTAAAGAGTCCTCTCCTGCTGATGTTCAGGTGTATATCAGTATGTAGTGTCTCTACTTTAAAGAGTCCTCTCCTGCTGATGTTCAGGTGTATATCAGTATGTAGTGTCTCTACTTTAAAGAGTCCTCTCCTGCTGATGTTCAGGTGTATATCAGTATGTAGTGTCTCTACTGGGACATGTCTCCATGCTTTAATGCTCAAAAAGCTATTTATTTTCTCATACTGCCTGTGCTGCAGCACCTTTTTTTCACCCTCTGTCTGAAACCAGAGCCCAGACTGCTCTGATTGGTTAGCTGGCCGGCTCTGTTGTACACAGAGAGATACAGGGAGATCGCTCTTCTGGAGTGAAGAGAGCGGAAATAATGATATTGCAAGTTAGGAATGTAAGATGCATTTTGACAGACAAGACGGACACTTGGGGGAAAATATGCTGCATTTTGAATGTCCGATAGTCCACCATTAACACCTTAGTCCCGTCTCGTCTCGTCAACGAAAACTAAATATACATTTCGTCATAGTTTTCGTTGACGAAATTAACACTGCTAAATTAGCCTATCACGTACAATGTGTTGGAGCGCTGGCACAATACTCTAGTCTATATAATGCACGACTACAGGAAAGGGAAAACCCCAAAAAGCATAATAGGGCCTCTTTTAAACCCACATTAAAATGTATAACAGTATTTCTCATAGACCCTCACTGATCCCTGTTATGCTAACCAAGCACTAATTGATGGTTTCCTCCAGACAATGCCAGCTGGCTGTGGAGAGTGACCGCAGGCGGCTGCTTTGGAGATGTCTGAATGATTGGCAGCTCTGGTGTCGGATGGAGAAGGAAAAACGAGAGCTTTTGGCCCAGCAGCAGGAGACCCGGAGCAAGATGGCTGCCTTAATAAATGCTGCATCAACAGGCAAACTCAAGGCCAAAGAGAGCCCAACTTTTCAGCCAATCATGGAGCCACAAGCGGAACATAAACAACCGGGGATCACCGAGAAGGTGAGAAAAATCACATATGAGTTGGCGGGTGATGCGAAAGGCTAAAATTACTGAGGCACTGGATTTGATCTGGAACTTTTTATCACTATTTTAACCGGGGAGAAAAACTTTTCCTGCTAAAATATTCACAACTCTGGAGAGTGAGAGCAGAGCGGTGTACATATAGGGGAAGGGAAGGCTAGAGAGAAATAAGAGGTGCAGAATAGTGGAACAGAGCTCCAGGGACAGAGGAAGCAGAACATAAGATTGAGCTGGAGCAGTTCATGGTCGAGGGGTCAATAAAGAGGCTATACGCGCCTCTCGGGCCCCGCAGCTTATATATCAGGATTCCTGGAGTCAAGTCAATTTTGTGGTACTCTATTTGTGTTATTTATTTTGGGTTTTCAGACCTAAAGGAGGATTTTTTTCATAAACAATACCATCTTCATACCTGTTCTGGTTTCCCCTCTGTAGGAAGGTCACCCCAGGTCAAAAACGTTGGCCCCAGACGACTCTTCCGTACATCGAAATCAGACGCCTGTGGGTGTTCAAGCTCAGCCGTGGCAGGCGACCCGACGCCACGCAGCACCCTCGGCCTCAGAGCTCCACGGCAGCTTCTCCGGGTCAAAAAGTGCAGCGGCGTCGGGCAGCAGGTTCGAGAACAGACACGCCGTGCAGCAGCAGATCATCAGCCAACAGAGGAGGCTTCTGAAGGAGCAGCAGGAGCAGATCTCACGGCTGAGGGACGAGCAGAGCGTGGCGGAGCTGGAGCTGGAGATGGAGAAAACTGCACAGCTCACACAGCTAGTAATGACAGCAGAATCCAGACCAAAGAGCAACCACTCTGAGCCCACAGAGCAGAGGTAGGCCCATGGAGAAATGTGGAATTGAAGCGTTCATAAGCTGTGTTTAATGGCTTTTATTTGCAACATTCACTACTGCCTTATTGTTCAGTTGAAAGCCACCGTAGCAACTAAATGAGCCTAAACGTCAACTGTGACACGTTCCAAAAAAAGTCCATGCTAAAGTTCCTTTCATAATGTTTAGCAGTCATAATTAAAGGTAAAAAAGTAGGTAAAAGTTAGTGGTTAAAAATGTGAATAATTAATGAGTGTCGAAATGTCCTTTGGGAGTTTTCTAGAAGGTCATGTTTTAAGTGGACTTCAGTAATGGCTTATAACTGATTCAAAAGTCAACGTTAAATGAATTTGAACCGTTAAAATAAAGCCACTGGTTTCAACCTTTTGAACAAAAGGGAAAAACTCATAGAAAGTGGTTCAAATTTGAGCAACAAAGTCGATCCAGTTGGCATAAATCTAAACTTGTCGTGACTCCTTTTCTTTGGCACCTTGTTTATTGTGCCATAAAAATCATTTATGACTCAGATTGTATGAAAAAGCTCAATAATGTAATACTGAAAGCTTTGACATGAGTGTGGGAACGTGGAGGTGTCCTCTGAACGTGTGCAGAACTATATGGTGTGTATATTCTCGGCCTGTCCATTCAATTCCCTCCCAGCAAAACCCCCAGGACACGCTGACTGCGCCCATACCTCCATGCCCCACATGAACTCGCTCTAAAACTGTCTTCAGATGATGAAAAATCACTTGCATTAGCTCCGTTCTCCTTCCACACTGCAAGTCTCCCTGCACCTCGGGGGTGGAAAGGATATCATACAGAAACAATAAAGTAACGTATCAAATGTCTGGTATAGTTATTGTTTCCAGGAGGTGGAATGGGGTTATCTGTTATATCTTTCCTTATTAAATGCAAGGTGTAGGTACAAAGAAAATACAGAATGCTTTTCCAGCTCAGAGAGGACGGAATATAATTGAAAATGCGTGGTTGCTGTAATTAGATAGAAATGGGATTACAGAACACAACCTTGAACACTGTTTCCATGAGTAAAAGTTCTACCCTTCACGGAAGTCCATTCACAGATTTATGAATGAATGTCGTTTGAGGTTGCCTAAAGCCGAATACCCGTCTGAATACAATTTGCTTCGGGAATATGTGAATGTGCAGACAGCTGTGACAGGCCTTTGTTTCTGAGCTTCTGACTGTTACCTTTACAGGACACTGAGGACGACTGAAGAACCCGTCAGCCTCTCCTCAAAGAAGGCCGTCAGGCAGCAGACTCGACCCTGTCAAATCATCACGGGTCAGTCCGCAAGGTCCTGAAAAAGACAAACACAAACTCACATATATTCAAAAGTAGGCCTACATTATGTTATCCCAAACACACAACGCTGTAGTTCTTCTGTGAGAGAAATTGCATGACCTTGCATCACGCATAAGGGCGACGTTACATTTGCATATAAAAGCCTAAAGTTGTACAATTGAAGCACTTGGAGTTACGCGTTCAGAATGTGAAAACATCTTTATATATACAGTCTATGGAAAACATACATAATCATATACACTCCTGAGACTCTGTGCCACATAGGAATACCTTGTGCTTAACTGACCTCTCTCCTGCTCCTTTGAAGCCATGGAGGAGCGTGCACGCCAACGCGAGGAGAGAAGGAAGGACATCGAGGAACTCAGGCGAAAAAAGGAGAATGAAAAACTGGTAAAAGATTAATGAGCTGTTCACCAGACTGTTTTTTTTTGCAGGATGAGTAGCGAGGAGGGATTGTCGGGAACGATATTAGGAAACAATAATTTCATTTGACTTTGTTTCCAGGCTGAGATGAAAGCCGCCGAGGAGCAGAGGCAGCGGGAGGAGGAGGAGGAGAAACGCCACGCAGCGGAGAGGAAGAGGGACGAGAGAAGACAGGAACGAGAGGTGAGGCTCACGATTTGTGGACGCAGTTGTGAGAACACAGGAAGTAGTAACACTGAGCGACATGTCGTAGCGAAACATTTCAATAATCTTAGATCATTTCAAAGCAGATTCACTGGATAGTAAACGAACATGTAAAGACCTCAGCTTGCTCTACGCCAAAACCTGCATTGCATTTCTTTTTGAAAAAGGCTCAAAGTCCAAGTGTCACTCATTGGTTGCGATGGATGCTGTCAGGCGTCCCATTGGAGACGATGTCCTATATATTAAAGTCTAGTAGACAGCGTGTTTGAGAAGACATGGAGGCCCTTCATTGATTACGTAAAGCAGGGGGGTCAAACTCAAATACACAGTGGGCCAAAATTTAAAAAATGGGTACTAGTCGAGGGCCGGACTGGTTCAATGTTTATTGCAGAACTTATTGAAATGAACTTATTGCACATATTAAACCTGGAACTAACAAAGCTTCAATGATTGCCTATAAAAACAACATTAAACATGAAATAATCAGTTGCATTCATTTCTTATGGCTCTATCTGCAGCTTTTACAGAGTCATTTCTTATGATTACATTTTTCCACAGGCCAACAACAGCTTCAACAAAACTATTTCCCTCAAAGAAAAAACCAAACATGCCCTGTTGTCTCAAGAAAGAAAGTGCAGAAGGAAACATCCATGTAAACTCAGTTTGCTGCTCTGTGATGCTAGTTCAGATACTTGGCATCTCATCTTGGGTGCAAGGTCATCAATGTTTGGGCTCAGGCTCTGAGCGGAGGAGACCCTCAGGATGGAGTGAAGGTGTGCGTGCAATATACCGGCGGGCCAGATCTAATAGCAATTAAAAATTATCCTGCGGGCCGAAATTAAATCCACCACGGGCCTGATTTGGCCCCCGGGCCTTGAGTTTGACACATGTGACGTAAAGGATCTAAATCTAGCTAATGTTCAAGAGGGTACGTAGATGCAGTGTTGGTGTCTTTTCTTTCATGCATAAGGTTTTCAAATTATTTCCTTGTATCATACAGAGGAAGCAAGTTTGTTGTAACTTCTCCTATTTTTGTATGGTATACAAATCTAATGAGTAAAGTCCCTTCTTCCTGTGTGTCAGAGGGAAGAGGAGAAACAGAGGCAGCTGAAAAGGCAACAGGAGCTCCTCTCTATCGCCCGTCAACACTACCTCAAAAACCTGCTGCTGCGGCGAGGCCTGGCGCCATGGAAACGCTTCATTCAGCTCCAACGGGCCAACGTAAAGGTGAAGCACCTGTGTTCAGCCGTCAGACACATTTGAGCCGCCTCAGGCCTCTGACTCAACATTTAGAAGAACCCGTGGAGGTGCTGGGTGACCCTGGCCTGACCTTAAAATCCTATTTGAAAAAGAAAAACTGTGCAAGGAGCGCTTCAGGCTTTTATCACACCGGCTCCCGCAGAATTGCAATAAGCCAAAAGGAGAAGTCCAGGTAGACTGTGGGTTTGAATAATAAAAAGTCTGATATCTGACTTGCAGACATTCACTAAAACACAATGTGACTGTGAAAGGCTCTTTATCATCTCAAGGCGACGCTCACGGAGGAGTGGTGGACATAATCATTTCCTCACACTAAGAAGCTTGTTCAGTTATTTCATTATTTCTGAGTATAAAGACCAATATGTGTTGAATTTGAATGATTTAAAGAGGATTATACGTGCATTTTTTATTGTCCTAACTATAAAAAAAGGGTGTGCTTTTTTTATAAAGTATAAATTACATTACATGTCATTTGTTAGACGCTTTTATCCAAAGCGACTTACATAGCCTACATTCAGTTCTGTGGACATTCCCCACAGGAGCAATTTGGGGTGAAGTGTCTTGCCCAGGGACACAACGACATGCTGACTGCAGTGGGACTCCAACTTGCTGATTCGAAATAGCATCACCATAAATAACATCTTAAAGATTGAATTATAAGAAGAATATGTGGCCCTTCATCTATTTCTCCTTTTGTTCTTGGCTGGTGTAGTTTGTTATTCCTCTTGCTGGGAAAATCACAGGCAGATAGAACATCTCGAAATAAAAGTGTTGTTTCATCTTCAAAATGATCCCCTCTCTGCACAGCATCAATACTCGTTGTGCATACATGTTTCACAGATAGATACAAACCCTTTTGTTAAATCTGAGATGCATTCGAAGACATGTGATCCATTGTTTCTGCCTGGCCCATATGATTGAGTTTGGATGCCTTCATCAGCGTGCACCAACACTTTTCTTTTCAATTCCCGCCAGCTGGCCGACACTCATCACAATCTCTCCCTCCTGAGGCGGAGCACACTGCGCTGGCAGCAATCAGCTAGAGAGTCCTCGTCTCAGAAAGAAGCTCGCGCTGACCGACTGCACCGGCACTTTCTGCTTCGGAGGAGCTTAAGTCGCTGGAAAAGAGTGTGTATTTACACCCCCACACACACACACACACACACACACACACACACACACACACACATTCAGTTATTCAATCAGGATTTCAGCTTCCCCATCTTCTGCCGGTGATTTAGAGCATCACCTTTTCCTAATCTCTTCTCCCCGCACTCAATCATGCTTTAAAGAGCCCGGGCTTTTACAAAATAATGGTTTTCTTGTTAAAGCTAGTGCCAACCTCATCACTTTAACTTGCTAACAGTTGTTTTGCTGCTAACAAAGCAGAAAATGCCGCCTATCTCTGAGTGAGCGTGGTGTGTTTTTCAGCTGATGGACTGGAGGATGATCCAGGAGGAGAGAGCCGAGCGTTTCCACCGCGCTCGCACTCTGAGGAGGTTTCTGCTGGCGCTGCTGGACCATGTGACCCAGGAGAGGCTGCTGCAGAGGGACCGTCAGGAGCACAATGACAGGTCCGTGACTCTACCATATGTTCACTGTGTTCATGCTGCAGCGATAACCAGATAACAGCGTGTCAAATTAACAGCTTGATTAATTACGAGATGAAATGCATCGCTAAAGCAGTTTGGCTACAGTTGGCCAGGATAAACACAATGCCCAGTGAACTCTAAAGAGGCCTTATTATATTTGTTGGGGTTTTCCCTTTCCTCTGGTGTGTTATATAGGTTTTAGTGCATGTAAATGGTCTGCAAAGGCTTCACTGTCATTCCCACACACTTCCCCCCCCCCATCAGGGGCGGACTGGGACTAAAAATCAGCCCGGGACTCTCGACCGGGCCACTTCGGTACCGCTAGTAAATTGTCAACGGGGGGGGACCACATCGTCCGACCGGCCCACTTCAGTACCGGCCCATCGGGATTTGTCCCGATGACCAGTCCGCCACTGCCCCCCATGCCTAAAACGCCTCCATTGTACACCTTTGTTTACTTCGAGAACATAGAGACATCACTATGTAACACTTGCACTTCTATTGACCAATAACAACAGAGACAGCCAGCTAACCAATCAGAGCAGACTGGCAGTATGAGAAAGAGCTTTTTGAACATTAAAGCATGGAGACATGTCCCAGTAGAGACACTAATATGAACCTAAAGATTTGTATAATAAGGCCCCTTTACCAGAATGAAACAGCGTAAGACATTTTGCAGTGCATTGTCTTCAACCTGCACCTCCTTTGCATTATATTAAAACTATAAAATCAGTGCCTAAAATCTGCTGTTAGCTGGAAGTGTTCATATTTTGATTAATGGAGTCAGTTTGGGGGTTTGGCTGCCGTGGTAGAAACTTCAATACGGCTGAACTAGCAGGAAAAGCGTGGGGTTTAAAGCTTGCTTAGTCAGGCTAATTAATGAAAAGTATTTTCCGTAATAAAACCTTTTCTCCAACAACTCATTGTGAAGACATTTCACCTTAAAACCACATAGAGTGCTAAAAGAAAAGTGAGCGAATCATCAAAGTTATTAGGGTTCATTGTCTTGGAACCAGAAATGTCAGTTTTGCCATCTATCTTGTCGGGCTTGAGATATTCTCTGGATAAATGGGGACTTTGTCTTGCTGATGGCGCATGAGGAAGGTCTGGGATCACTAAAGATGGCTCCTCTGGGCACTGTGGATACTAATGTGCTGGAGAACCACCCAATACTACATATTTCAGAGTGAGCAAAGTGATGCACCGACACAGAAGCAGTGCAACGCTAAAAAGTCTGTTTTGTGGCTTTTTACATGTCCATTTAAATAGATTGAATCCTCTAAATAATACATTTTAATCAGTGAACACATTCAGGTTGTGAATACGCCTCATATGAGCATTATTCTGGATGTCTGTAGCACTGCTCCAACTCGATTAAATTCTCCCTCATTGACGCAGAATGTGTTTATAGACTTCTCAAGTGTGGTCCGATAAATGAGAACGGCCTGCAGGTACATTCCCACCGGCTGCCATTGACAATAAGCCGTGACATTCAGTGAAAACTCATTAGGTGTTGTGATCCCACAGGTCGCTACGATTCAGTTTCTCATTGCTCACTTGTTTCCCCCGTCTGTTCTTCCATCTGCCTGCCTCTTCAGACGGGTGCTGCGGAGATGTTTGCAGGCCTGGAGGCAGCTTCCCTGTCTGCAGCGCAGGGAGAGGGTGAGGGAGGAGAGGAGGGAGAAGCTGGGACGAAGAGTGGCTGCCATCTTGCCCGACTTCTGCTCACATCCGCTGTGAAGCCTCCGGGAGAAACACACACTTAAGATGATCCATTCACACATCCTCAAAGCCCTGGAGAGGAAACACAGACTGCACCGTTCTCACGTTCATTTAATACAAATAAAATGTACCCATAGAACTTTGGGAGGAAATAATAAATGCTCTAATAAAAGCAGCGATAGTGGAAACTTCTCAAGGTGACATTTATGTGCTTTATTCACTTTTTTTTTATATTCCCAGAGCTGTTCCATGCAGGAGTTTGAACCAGCTTGATATAAAAAAGTAGCTGCTCATATATTTATAACTAACCGATCAATCATTGTGATTAATGCAAGCTGTAAAACTTTAATCAGCCTGATGAGCTGCTGAGATGTTTAATTCATCGGCGAAAAATATCCAAGTCCGAGTGAGGCGGATAAATGTTTTTGTGAAGAGTTCCTGGAGAAAAAAGAACGTCCAGTCGGTGTTTTTGTGCGGGACTCGTCGTCATTGTGCTGCTGCCGAGAAAACGTCTCCACGAGAAGCAGGACACATTACTCAGTCTCGTTTTTGTCCGTCTCCCAGCAAGGCACTAGAGTGTAGAGGAGACATAGAGACAATATTGAAGTCCTGGGACGACAGGCGGTGTGCAGGAATGCTTTTTATCTTATTTGGCAGAGAGACGGATGACAGGTGTAAAGGTCAAACAGCTGCATGGAGGAGATACCAGCTGTGAGTGACATTACGGGAAGAGAATGTATGTTTTGTTGACTTGCAATAACTGCAGTGAGAAGATATCAGAAGTGAAAGAAGCCATGCTGCCATCCAGTGGACATGAACAAGAACTTAAAATCAGCGTCTCTTACACCAGGTCTGTGAGGAGGGGGGTTGGGGGATTCAGTTTTTCTTCCATGCTCATGAACTCAGCCCAGTTTTCACGGAAACTTCGAGAGTAAACCCCGGTGTCCACGACGAGCCCCCAGTAGGAGCTGCGAGCGGTCTTCTCTCTCAGGGCCAGGCGGGCCTCGCGCTCCGTCACGTTGAAGCTGACGTTGATGATCTGCACCAGCAGCAGGTGGAGCAGCCCGCAGGACACCATGCTGCTGTACCACGCACAGGTGAAGCACAGCGCAGCGCTGCAACACAGACAAGAGACCAGAGGGTCAATACATATGGGTCAGTACAATATGTAATATGACTTTACATTGAATTTAGCTGACACTTTTATCCAAAGCGACTTTCAAAAAGTGCATTCAACTCAAAAGTATGTATCCTGCAGGTACATGTCCTATCTATAAACCCAACCAGTTTAAGTGCTACTGCATTAGCTTAAGTGCTGCGTACAGAAGATATTATTTGCTTTTTAGCAAAGATGCAGTCGAAACAGGTGAGTCTTCACACTACTTCCTTTATTAAGACCGTAACATCCTATCATATATAGTTTCTACATTTGAAAATATAGGATATACTTATTTACATTCAAAGCTTCTTTTGAGGTTTTAATTAAAGTTTTGAGTGTCTTTTATCATACTTTATGATAATAAAGCTGTACTTAATTTTGTATACGCAATGAAATATATCATTTTGTGTGATTGTGGTAGTATACATGTAATTTATGGTGCTGTTAAATTGTTGCACACCCCTTTTAAGTGTCTCTCTTTTTGATGGGCAAGAGCAAGTTTCTTGTTTTTGAAACAAATATTGATTGAAGCTTATTGCTTATGTTTTTAATTTTTAAAATAGTTATATCTTTATTTGTTTTCAATAATTGTTGACTTTTTGACTGATTATTCTGTTCAGCCTTAGGTTAAAGCAACAACACAATAAAGCGTTTTTCACGGGGACTGAGTCATTTTGTGGCAAAAACCTGTCTCAGCAGACTAATGGAGCTTCAGAATAAGGTAAATAGTGACTTTAATGTTAAAGGTCACCTATCATGCTATTTTTAGGCAATAGCATAGGTCTCAGATATATAAAAATATATAAAAAACATGTCTATGAAGTGTTTTGCTCAAAATACCAAACAGATCACCCATTCTAGCCATGCCTCATATCCCTCTATTTCACTTCCTGTTTCAAAAGTGCTGATTTTGGTATAAAGCTTTAAAAAAAGAAAGGAGGGGTCTGAGCTCATGCGGGACCCGGCAGCTACTGTCTAAACTAAATACTGCCGTGATGAAACGCCATATCATGGATTATCAAGGATTCTTTCTGAAACAGTATGGAGCTCAAAGGCTTTCTCTCTTGCCGGTTATACCACAAGGTGAGTTCCTTTTTATTTCCTGCTTCTTCACACACATGCTCTCCAGTACAGGTTAGCTCTGAGTGTTAGCGATGCTAATGTAAACACCGACCATATTACGTCCAAAACAGTCGGGCATTGTTTCTGATAGCAACTTTCTGATAGTGCCGTGGGTCCACATTTCAGATATTACGTCATATCAGACGCAAATCTGGATCAGCTCCGTTGTAGCCCCGTTTTTAGAGATTTGGGTATGGAGGAAAAGAGAGGGTTTTATTTTCTGACGCTGCGTGAGTTCCCTGACACACCGGGGACACATATTTATGTATAAAAGACATCACAAAGTTGCGTGATAGGTCCCCTTTAAAGTTACAGCCCAGAGTGTTCAAAGAGTGTTTCTCAGTACCTGTACTGGTCGTAGACCCCGGGGCAGTACAGCAGGGCGGTGAGGAGGAGCTGATCCGGACACACGCTCCGCAGCACCAGGCTGATCCCGTACAGCGACGTCGACAGGAAGAGGAGGAGCAGAAGCAGGAAGCTGCGGTGATTGGCCAGCCCCACACAGCTGTTTATCCTGCCCGGCACCGAGGGAGGGGACGCACAAACACACAAGTACACACACAGGCTGACAAAACATCTTACATCGTACACTAAACACATAGGATGAAAGCAGGAAACTGTTTATAGTAGCTGCATCAGTGTGATGTTGACACAACACACACATATGGCTAATAAAGACACAACAGGTGTGACCAGGACAAACACCCATTCAGTCTTTTTAGATTTATTGAAAAACTTGTGCAGAAAAGACGAGCAGGCGACAAACAAGAAGACCTCAGAGTTTGAGATGTGAGACAGAGAGGGAGAATCAGTGAAGACAGGCGGAGTGAGAGGCTCTGTGAGGGGACCCACCAGACACAGTGGTGGTCGAGACGCCGGACGCAGACGCCACAGATCCGACAGTGTCCCGCCCTGGGGGGTCTCACCACTTTGCACACGGGACACCAGTTCCTACGGCCGCTTTCCTGCAGATCCGCCTCCCCATGCTTCGCCGTTTCCGCCCTGTTGGCTACAGTCATCGTCACGTCGTGTTTCCCCCCGTTCACAGCAGAGTCTCTCTCTGCCAGAGGGCTGTGATACGTCACCGTGCTGTGGACGTCCTCTACGTTCAGCCGCACGATGCCAGGGTCTCTCTTGGTGTGGAAAAGCGCCGCCAGGGTGAGTATGACCCCTAAAGTTACAACAGCCGGCTGAAAGAGACCAAAATCCCCGCGGGGAAGCACCTCGGTGAGGAACAAGAAGTACATGTACCCGATGGAGAAGAGGGCGAGGCTGAGGAAGAACAGCGTGCGGCCCTTCTTGCGGTGGGTGGAGTAGTAGTACCACAGCACCAGGCCGGGCAGAGCGATCAGAGACACCACGCCCAGCAGGAAGTGGAGGGCAGCGATGTGAAGAAGCACCGGGAGGAGGATGAGAGGAGGGATGACAGACAGCTCCACTCTGCGAGCCCCTCCCCACAGCCAGGGCACTCGGATCCGGTCTGTGAAAACTGCAGCCACATGAGACAGGGACTCGGGTTTCTGAGACTCCCTCTTTAGAAACCTGAAAGAGAAAATAAAAACTTGAAGAGGACGTAATCTGATAATCTTCAGGTTCATATTTTGTGCACAGAAACCTTTATTACACACTACAGGAAAGGGAAAACCCAAAAAGCATAATAGTAGATATTTCAGTTTGGATCAAAGTGGTTGACCTACTGATCGACCGACCAACAGACCAACATTGTTATTGCCACGCAGAGCTAAAAGATGTCAAACATGTGCTGGTACGAGCTTCTCCACTTTGGGGATTTCATGTTTTCTGCTATTTAATATCATTGTAAATTGAATATAGTTGAATTTCAGGCTGTTGATCGGACAAAACAAGCACTTTAAATAACTGTGATGGACAAAATGTGACTGTTTCCTCACTTTTCATAGAAAAAAATAAGTAATGGATCAGTTGTACATGGATGGATGGATATGTCCCTCACCGGTCACAGGCGTCGTCCAGGTCCTCACAGTCGCAGCAGCAGGCCGCCACATGGCTGCGCTCCCCCAGTCTGTTCACATACTCGCAGCAGCACAACGTCTCCTCCTCCTCCAGATGCTTTTTACCACGCTTCTTCATGATGGACAGCCTTACAGCCTAAAAAAAACCACATTAGAACCATTATCAACAGTTGTGTTATAGATAAAACCACAGTAAAAGACTCGTACTGTAAATAAACTGCAGCTGGAGAAGCATTATCAAACAGATTTCCACCATGCAACATTGCGAACAGACCTTGCCTATATGACCCTACCCAGTCCACCTTTCACCCTCACATCTGTCACACATCTGTCACACATCTGTCACACATCTGTCACGCTTTACTGATGAGCTGAACCGTCCCACTGATGGATCTGAGCTGAGGTGAGCAGAGGCATTGAAAGCATTTATAACAATCACCGGTCTTCAGTGTCCCCTTCATCTCCGAGCACAGGCGTAGTGAACCGCTAAGTGGGATTAATGCTTCGGCTCAGTTAGACCTCTCTGGGGATCTGGCGCTGTTAAATGAGCCTCTGATTAGCAATCAATCATTGTGTTTTAGTATTATTCCTCAGATGTTGGTTAAAAGGTCAATACCAATTACCTGGCGAGTTCTTCAAGGCAGCTTTGAAGTAAAGTCTTTAAAGAGAAGACAAACGGCTGCATGTACTGATAAATGTGTTCAGCATCCACTAACACATCTGCTCCTTTACACAAAAAAGAACTCGCAGTGTGACAGTGGAGCTCAGCAGCTC